TCATTCATTTCGTTCACATCCTTGGGTTTCATATGAATTGTTTGATGTTTTGTATCATTATAAGATGATATGATGTCAGGAAGTATATCGAACCATCTGTATGATCCTTGGAGGGAGAATTTTTTCCGCATTCGCTCTTTCAATGTACGGTTGAATCGTTCACAAATCGATGCTTTCAAATTGCTAAACGTTGAATACATTTTTATATCAAATTTTTGCATAAGATTTTTGAATTCTTTGTTATAGAATTCTTTTCCTTGATCAACATGTAGCTTTTGAGGTACTCGACCTTGATTGAGTACAGATTCCATAGCTTTTGTAACATCCAATCCACTTTTTGATTTAATCGGTACTGCCCACGCAAATTTGGAGAAAATGTCGATGATTGTGAGTAGGAATTTATAACCATCATTTTCTTTAGCATAGGCTGACATATCCACAAGATCAGCTTGCCAAGTTTCGTTGAGAGCTCGTATATCTACTCGACGTCGGGGATAATTCCTACGCGCAGGTTTGTGGAGTTCCTCAACTAGAGCTTCTTTTTCCTTCTTGAACCTTTCTTTTTTTCCTAGGATTTTCACCATCATTCAATGTTTTGAGATTTCTCCTGATACGTTTCACTCTTTTCCCACTATTTGAATATTCTGGTGTGGCTGTTACACTGCTATCTCCATTCGGTTCAATTGAATAATGATATATATCAGAGCTCTCCAATGTTTTCAGTCGCTCATCTAGTGCTTCAATGACTTCTCTGATTAAACTTCTCTGTTATGAGTTTTTGTAGTGAGTTTATTTGTAACTTTTCAATTAACTCGTTGAGTATTTTGATAGAAACTGCATCTTGATCTTCAATTGCATCAGCAATGTTACACAATCGCTTGTTCTTCATATCAAATTGTCCATCTGCAGTAAGCTTAAAGCTCCGACCTGGGGGTCCTTGAATATTCCGCGGTGCAGCTGAATCTTGATTCCGCGGTGCAACATTCAACTATCGTCCAAACACATCAACACTCATTTTATAACTGATGTTTCCAAGATGTATCCACTTCTAATATATCAATCCAGCCTCACGCAGTTCCTCGATAATTGAAATTATTTCATTATTATGATTATTATTACCAGCTGTTTGTGAAGCATATAATAGTCGGAGACGCTCTACTAGCTCATTTGGATCATCGCAATACACATAATCAATATTATACCTCCTTTTTGCAATCATTTGATTTGATAATGCGTTTCCACGTGGAGACTTTTTCGTGAAATTCACAAACTTCTCTCTATTGTGTCGCCTCAAGCCTTTCGTTGGATTCAAATATTTTCTATTAAGATGTGTCATCTTCATAATTTTCGAGAATGCTTTCTTATCAGAGTCTGTAATCTTCTCTACATTAGGATTTTTTTTGAATAATATTTCGAAAAGTCCTGGAGTTTGATTATACTTTTCCCCACCAATTACTATTGTCTCCCCTTCGAATTTAATGGGTGTTGTTCCAAGCACCCAATCACCTTTATATTTGCGGATCCCCGTCTTCATGTCCAATTCTGTCATCCCATTTGGAGTATCATATAATTGTATATATTCTTGAGATGAATTATGAATATGTTCATCCTCGACAGAATCTGAATCATCTTCATGATGAGTATTATCAATTTCCATTTCAGGAAATAATAATGTTGTAGTATTCATATCCAACTGTGAGCCTGATGGTAATTTTTCCGATATTTTTGAATCATACATTTCCCCCATCCGTTGGATTTTTATCGGGATATTAGAGTCAGCAGTCTCTGTAGCACGTTTTCGTGAAGTTGATGATGCGAGAGATTTCTTTATTTTCCTCGGAATTTCAGCATAAGCAGTCTGATCTACAATTTTTTCTAATGGTGTAACCACTGGTTTGAAAACTTCATCTAGGGTTCTTTCGGTGTTTTCCCTCCCCAATTTTATCAGCTTGTGCTTCTCACGAATTGCTTCACTCGCGTCCGCAATTTGTTGTAAGACATGTTTCTCTTTATTTAAAATAGAACTGGTCATGATAAAGCTCTAGATGTGACTGCTTGGAAAAGTACATGTATTATGTATTTATAAAACAATCGAACCCTCTCCTGTAGCGGCCATCATCGTTCTCTATCTTTATCAATCATGAGGAAGCTGTACCTATCAATATTCCGACATGAGGAACATATGTCTTTGAATTGGTTATAGGTCATATCAGTATTGACATGATCTTCATAGATATGTCGTAAATTATTATCATCCTGTTTGAATAAAATTATTAAATTTGCATTATCACGTACAAGATGTTTTGGGATACGCGTATATGTCTGACAAAGGTAGAAACAATCAACGTCTCGGTGTCGTCCCATACAAAAAAATGCACGCATATTATCTTGTCTTTCGCATGCGACATCATCAAAAATGAAAATTGAATTGGGATGCGCATCTTCCGGTTTTATCACCTCCTCATGCTCGTTGAATGGAAAATATCCAATTGTGTTCGTTGCTTCCAGAACGTTTTTTAGGAACTCATATTTCGGTTGATTCAATGATTTTGAATACACATAAACATTTTCGAATCTCAATCCATTCGGATGTGTGATAAGAGCCAATAATGCGTATGTTTTACCGCAGTTGGAGGGCCCGCAAAAAATGGCACGCACTGTATTTGGTAACAATTCTCCATGACGTTTATCTTTAATTTTATCACCCACATTTTGTACCACCTGATCAAAATTCAGAATGGGTAATTTCACATCCTGTTCTGTGAACTTCATCGTTGATGACAATCACCTATGAGTTTTCTCATCCTACTGCAGTCAGAACGTATAAATAGCGGGTATATATACCATTCACATTCAGTCGAAGATGAGCTATGATTGTGAGAGGATGTAAGAGGAGTGGTAAAGGAGTATTCAATAAGATAATCAACAAATTACCTATCGAATTTCATATCCCTGGTTATCAATATTGTGGGCCGGGAACAAAACTGTTAGAGAGATTAGCTCGCGGTGATCCTGGAATTAATCCACTCGATAAAGCGTGCAAAGAGCACGATATCGCATACTCAAAAAATCGTGAGAATCTTTCAGCTAGACATAACGCTGATAAGACCTTAGAACAGAGTGCGTGGAGACGTGTATTATCAAAAGATGCAAGTTGGAGTAAGAAAGCTACTGCTTGGGGAGTGGCCAATACTATGAAGGCCAAGACTAGCTTAGGATTTGGATTGAAGAAAAGAGTGGGGAGGAAAACTACAAAGCGTGGCAAAAGTCTCGTGAAAAAAAAGAAAACATGTGGTCGTAGTGCTGCAAAAAAACAAGTGGCTCTCAGAGCAGTCATCCGAGCAGCGAAACAATCAATGCGCCCTGGGGATGCAATCAAATCGGCTCTTCAGGCTGCACGAGATGCTGTCCGAAAAGCTGGAGGAAAGCGTTCTGTAAAGTCACCAAGAATATTACCAGTTCCCGGAAAAATTGGTGGAGTGCTACCTTTCTTGATTCCCTTATTTGCTGGATTAAGTGCCACGGGAGCTTTAGCCGGAGGCGCCGCAGTTCTCACAAAAGCTGTGAATGATGCGAAAGCAGCTAAGCAGTACCTTGAGGAGAGTAAACGTCACAATCAAGCAATGGAAGCAATTTCAATGGGTAAAGGATTGTATTTGAAGCCCTATAAAATAGGATTTGGACTCCATTTGCAACCAAAAAACTCATAAAGCTACCACACCGAGCCCTCAGTGATGCTGATATTATGAAATACTCCAAACTCATGAAAATTCCATATTTTCGCGGAGTTTATATGAGAAATGATTACCCATAAATGGACTTCGGGTGAATGAATCAGCTATAGTGAATTTGGATGATAGGGATGGTCCTGGCACTCACTGGGTGGCATATAAGAAACGGAAAAATGAAATAATTTATTTTGATAGTTTTGGAAATTTACAACCACCAAAAGAATTGATGGATTATTTCGGTGTTGGTAGCCTCGTCAAATATAATCATCAGAAGCATCAAGAATATGACACAATCATATGTGGTCATCTATGTCTGAAATTTCTCAAAGGACAGATATAAATATCGCTCACATTCATTCATTGAGTTAGTTTACAGCTGACAACCATGGGGGAATCTTTGACATTAACACTGACGGGAACGTCTTCTATTTTGGAAGCGAATTATTTTCCCCCCATTAAATTATCTCACATTCATCACTATAGTTTGGCTCTTGTTGAATTATTGACATTCAATTCAATTTCAAATATTACAGAAAAGAATAACAAGTTCTACTACTCTGATAATGAGAATAAGGAATATACGATCAGCATCCCCCAAGGTAGTTATGAGATTGATGATATTCAAAATTATTTTCAGAAGGTTCTGCAAAAGAAAGGTGTTTCAATCAACTTGAAACCCAATAATAATACTCTGTGTAGTGAAATCAAAAGTGATCATACAATTAATTTTAAACCACCCGATTCGATTGGTAGATTATTAGGATTTGATAACAAAATTTTATCGCCTAATAAATCACACGTATCTGATTTACCAGTTAGGATTCTTAAGGTGAATTCTATGCGTGTGGAGTGTAATATCACTGGCGGTGCGTATAATAATGGGGAGAAAGTTCGTATTATTCACGAATTCTTTCCTGCTGTACCTCCAGGATATAAAGTCATTGAGGTGCCGAAGAATCTCATTTACCTTCCGCTCGTGGTCCAAGCAATTGATCATCTCCAACTGAGATTGGTGGATCAGGACGGTGAATTGTTCAACTTCCAAGGAGAATTAATCACGATAAGACTTCACATTAAACGTACCTAATGGGTATCGTTTTCCAAACAAAGATCGGGAAGAGTTATAAAAGGGAGTCATCTCCCCAAAGGACTAGCAGTCGTCAAAGACCCATCAAACCGTTAACACGTGAGAATATTCAATTCCTCAAGAGTTTACACTTGAGACCTCGAGTGTGAATCCCATCATAGATAAAGAAAAAAGAATATATTATGGAGGACATCTTGAAGATTCAAAAATCTATCGTCTTCGATGAGTCAGTTTCTCACTATGAGATGCATACCGATCAACCCTTTGCTTCATCAAGCTATAGTAACAATGATGGAATTTCTATTACTGTGCAACATCAAGATTTATGTTTATTACCCAGTAAGAGTCATCTGCATATTTATGGTCGATTAACCAAAGATAATGGAACAACACCAACCGAGAGAACAAGACTCGTGAGTAACGCTATCTGTCATCTGTTTGAGGAAGTGCGATATGAGCTCAATGGTGTGGAGATTGATCGAGCGAAAAACGTGGGCTTAACGAGTCTCATGAAAAATTATGTTTCTCAGAGTCCTAACCAGCGGTTTTTGATGGAGAATGCCGGTTGGCTCAAGAATGATAGTATGGATAGTAATGAGACAATCACTGATAATGCAGGATATTTCGACATCTCTATACCATTAAGTCTTCTACTTGGCATTGCTGAAGATTATCAGAAGATTGTTGTGAATGCAAAACATGAACTCATTATTACGAGATCGAAAACAGACATCAGTGCAGTACTCCAGAGGGCTGTCAATCAACAAAACCCTGAGGAGAAATGGAAGATTAAGCTCCAAAAGATTGAGTGGATGATCCCCTATGTTAAAGTGTCGGATGAGCGCAAGCTGGAACTGCTCAATTTCATCGCAAAAGACACACCCATTACAATGGGCTTTCGTACATGGGAATTGTATGAGTATCCTCTTCTCCCAGCAACCTCGAAGCGTGTTTGGGTCGTGACGACATTATCTCAATTGGAGAAACCAAGATATGTTATTCTTGGATTCCAAACGAATCGTAAAAACACCCAGACAGCCAATGCGAGCCACTTCGATCATTGCAGTATCCGAGATGTGAAGCTTTTCCTCAACTCAGAGAGCTATCCATATGGCAATTTGAATTTGGATATTGCCCTCAATCAGTATTCAACCCTATACAACATGTACGTGAACTTTCAAGAGTCTTACTATGGAAAGGAAGCTGAGCCATTATTAAATAGAGAGAAATTTTTAACAGACGCACCATTAATTATAATCGATTGTTCTAAGCAGAATGAGTATTTGAAAACCGGACCAGTTGATATTCGTCTGGAATTTGAATCATCATTTCCTTTTGCACCCAACACCTCAGCGTACTACCTTATCCTCCATGATCGAATTGTTGAATACAATCCCATCAGTGGAGGAGTTAAGAAACTAATGTAAATGTATGATGTAATAAATAAATCAAGATAATTATATATATTAAAAGATGAATATATATTTTTTTAATTAAAAAAAAATCCATGGTCTCATTATTCTACACACACCTTCTCCCCATCAACATCACAATAATAAGAGTAATGATATTGAAAATGACTTAGAACTATGTGAAACAAGTTTTCAAAAAATATTTAGTCTATGTTGTTTTGATAATACAGGGTTTAATATTTTTTCATAAGAATTTATTCGACGTTTTGAAACGCTCATGATCTCGAGCGAACTCTTCCCATGGACCTCGATGAGCAGAACGATACGCATACTCCCAATAGAACATCAAATGAACTCGTGGTTGTAATTGAAAACTAATTCTCTTGTTGATCTACAGAGCTATCCCTCACAGGTTTCATCATTCAAATCAAATCAGCAGGTTGGTGACCACGAGAAACGAAGAATATATCGTACTCCAAACCCAGAAGTTCAATGGCAGATCGCAAATGTTCAAAATTTGTATTGATGGTCTGCAGAGATTAAGATAACTTCTCACAAGGATAACACTTTGATACCTCTCCACGTTTGAACTTGGAGCACAGAGCTCGGAAATTTTTTGCGAATCCGAAAGATGAATCCCGTCAATGGTGGCATTGGTTCAGCTGGAGCATGAATCAATAGTTGCTCCACAACCTCATTGTCATTGAGGCAGTATGGTGGAACTGAATTCAACCATTGAATTTCATCGATACTCGCTACCTCTGATTCATCCTCTGTGTTGGTGATCTTGTCTCTCAGCTCCTCGCAGAATTTTCTTCAATTTCCCCAAATTGTTGATACTCTCGATTATGTTTGATAAGTCCTCACCTCGAGTAGGGCACTGGGGACAATTTCTTCTTCTCCCAAAGAACATTCGAAAACATGTTTGAAACATTTTGAAAACATTTTGAAACATTTCGAAAACATTTTGAAACATTTCGAAAACGTTTTGAAACATTTTTCAGAACATGTTGAAAACATGTTATAACCAATAGAGCGAAGAGGAATTATAAGATATCCCCACCCCAAAGAACAATGAGTCATCCCCAGATACCAGGATGACATCATCCTTCCAGAACATCCTCCGACCGTGCTGCCACCTGGCTCTCGAATATACAGGATGATGTCATCCTTCTAGAAAATTCTACGATGGTGGCGCCACCTACGTGAGAGTGAAACCCCCGCGATACAAGTCCCAACAGGACTCCGGAAGTCCCCCCCCCCACCACATTCCCAAACCGATGAGTCCCCGATGACGTCATCCATTTCGAAACTTCTACTACTGGGGCGCCACCTGGTGGCGGGCGCTGGAACTTCTATTCAGAACCCGCCTAGCTTAACTACTGTTCGCCATTCTTCTTCTTCACTAATATGATCGGGGATACATATTCAGAATTACTGGGGCGAATAATTTCTTTCTTTTCCAAATCATCTAATATCGTACGTAATTGTTCTTTCTCGTGAAATGATATTCGTCTGGGATTGTAATGAAATGGTCTTGGATCTTTGAGATTTAATTTCAGTTCCATATCCACTTTTGGAATACTGGGTCTAATCGATTCAATATATTCCTGCTCGAATAAATCTTTCACAGTAGTTTGAATTGCAATAGGTAGTTCGGAATTAATATTCAATCAATCGGAAACCCTGTCATCAGAATGAGAAATATCAATATTCATTATATCATCAATAGCATTTACCGATGGATTCATTAATATAAGCCCGAACTCTCTAATTACGTCTCGACCCAAAACAATAGGAGTTCTCATTGCCGTATCAGGAACAACCTATACAGTCTGGTTCTTTCTCACTTCGTTACCAATTGTTATATTTAATCTCAGTACACAATTTATCATAAGCTTTGAATTATTAACTCCCAAATATTCTCGATTCAACTTACTAGGTTCCTCAATAGCGTCAACAGGTATGAGACTCTCTTTAACAAAACGTATTTTACTACCAGTGTCCATCAATGTTAGTAAATAGAACTCGTGGTTCCCGGGATCGTGACTAACTTGGTATTTAATGTCTCTAATAAATGTCTTCTCTTCTTCTGCAATACCAGATACGACGGCCACCTGCTGTTGAAAATCCTTGAAATGTTCGTCTTCTCCCTCGGTATCAGCAACAACAGTCACTTGGGTTTTAATTTTTCTAGAAGGACACTGGAATAGCTTATGGTCCGTCTTTCCACATTCATAACAAGACCCTTTTTCACGTTTTGGCTTATCACATTCTGTTGACCAATATCCAAACTTATTACAATTATAACACTTGATTCTTTTATTTTGATCAGTGTTCTTCAGATTGTCTTCGGTTTTAATCTTTGTTGTGTGCGTGTCGGCGGCTTTGGTTTCTTGTTTACCAATGGAAAACTGTACATGTCTCTTCACGGAATTTTTGTCACACTCTTTTAATTTAATCTTTTCAAAAATTCTCAGCATTTAAGTCTTGTCATTAAACTCCTTCATCTTTGCTAAATCCTGAAGATTTATATTTGAAATGCCATCGATCAAGTAATCAACCATTTCATCATCGTCAATGGGTACCTCTCTGGCCAAAATGATTTTAGCATGATAGTAATCCGCGAAACTTTCCGAAACTTTCCATTCCCTAGGTTCGAAATTCTTCCTCAAGGACACACGAACCGGACGATGATCATACATCATTTTCAATCCCTTTAAGATTTCATCTAGACTTTGTGCAACTAGTTCCTCACTCTGGAACCATTCCTTCGCTTTACCCATCAATTTATTGCTGACCAACAGCTTAGCACGAGCATCGCTAAGATTATAAGTCGCGCACAATAGTCTGAATTGTTTTTCCCAGCTACGGAATTTGCCGCTCGAACCATCGAAATTACCCACCAACTCTAACATGGAATTAATACTCTCCTTTCTCTGATAGTTGTTTTGATCAATGTCTTCTCTCTCTCAATGGCTGACGAAGTAAGTGATTTTCACGGGCAGCTACATCTAACTCTCTTTTCAACAGCTCATTCTCACGTCTCAGCACATCCAGTTCCATACGTTCAAGTCGTGTTTGTAAATCATTGACGGTTTCACCATGGGCTGAAGCATTTTCGTTACTCTCATCGTTAATTTCCTCCTGGTTTTGAACAAACTCAATCCATGCACCAGTTGGATGATTATCATTGAGTCTTGTGATTATCTCTGTTTTCGTCCCTCGAGTAGATAGAACCCTTCTATGTAACTCGGCCTTTAATTTAGTCATAGGTACTTTGGTTGGATCCATTGTTCATGCCCCGACTAACACAGACACACATACAAACTAAGATTCTTCAAGAAAAGTCACTACTAACTCTCATGTCAACACTAAAGGGTCACTGCGTGGTATCAACACTCTGTCCGTTTGCTACTCACACACTTACGTCGTTCCTCAATCGAAATAATATCCGATGTCTAAGTTCACCAACAATTTCCGAATTCACCAACGGCATAATATATCCATATGATATATCAACGCTTTCCAAGCACCTCAGTCAATACTTTCGTAAATTCATAAATGGTGATATATATCCATATGATATATATACCGTTCCGAACACGTTAAACGACGCCACAGCGACTTCTAATCACTTTTCTAAGTTTCACTTAATTGTTCTAAACATTTCGGATACCCTTATCCCACTTCTGATTTTTGTAAGGAAGGAACTGGTGGTTTTTAAATGAATCGTCACAAAATTTATCAGGAATAATTTACAGATTTATTCACTTCATTTACTGGATAAATGAGTTGAACGATCTAGCTCGTTCAAATACACGTGAACGACTGTCGTATTACATTGTTCAGGTTTTCGGCATTGTCCGCAATGTAGCCGATCGATAAATTTACCGACATGATACGCAAGAGTGGTATCAGTCGAAATTTAAATTCAAAATACCTCACAAAGATGACTATTTTGGCGACAAAAAAATTCTATGCATACGATTTCATCTGTCTTCAGGTATATACAACTGTCTGGGGTTTTATCTCTTGCAATGAAATCTGAGAATTGGATTCCTAAAAAAGGATGACTGAAGCCCTCCGGGAGCTGAACGTTGTTACGTTTCTTCAGTAATGAATACTCGCCGTTAGCCAATTTTTCAACCGGACGAAGAGCCGACAATTCAGCCATCCTGTTCATAACCTGGGCTAAAGGCATATCACCTTTCCTGATCAATCTTTTAATAACGTGCAAGAAATTTTCGTAAATAAAAGCGCTAAATGAATCGAGTGGACCATGAAGCAAAACTTCTGAAGCTAAATGAAGCAGATTGTGTGGATTAAAAGTTATGTGTTCATCACCGTATAAGACTCTGAGTGTTAATAAGAAATATCGCAGCAATTTATCAGCATATGAATTCTTAACAATACAAAGTAATGGATCAGCTAGGATGCGAATAGCACAATGTAATGCCATGAAATTCAGGTACATGTTTCGGGGTAAAACAAAACGAAGAAAAACTGGACCTGTGTAGAGGAGGAATAATCGGCATTCAGTTGCTTTCCAATTAGAGTAATCATTGAGAGATCTTGGTTTACGCGAAAATTCCTTCGGTGTCACAGATGCTAAACTCGTGTATAATTGATTAGCATAATCTTGTATTTTTTCTCTGATCCAGTATGACATATAAATTCCAAGAAGTCTTTTAACACCTAACAACACCAGGTGCATCCAATCCAGTGGAAGTTGTTTTATCATATCGAAACCATTGAGCTCTAACGGGGATAAAATACGTGAAAACTGTTGAGGTAAATCTTTTCTAAAATTTTCATTCGTTCGTAGCTCTGAGGAAAAATCTAGGAATAATCGATAATTAGTAACAGGTTGAATACATTTTCCGCATCGACTATTGTGTCCTGGGAAACAACTAATGAAATTACGAGCTGGTGTATCGACCACGATATTTCTAATTCTCAAATGGCATCGATGATTGTTGAATACAAATCCTTCGGTTTTTAGTCGCATATAT